TGTAATCCCTAGGAGTTAATCATTTTTATGCCAGGGCACAATCAGCCTTCAGTCATTCATCAGATTTTCCATTTAAATATTATTTCTAGTTTATGATATCTATTCTGCTTCAGATAAGATCTTAGTTCTTACTGTGGATTTACCTATTTTTGTAGCTATAGGGCGTAGGGTCTATCCTGAGACCTCAGTTCAGAGCTGAGTTCTATATAAACCAATGATTTTCAACTTGTTCAGACTTCTCCTCCCATGTCCTAACAATGCAAGTAACAATTTCCAAATTTCTTTACATTTTGGAGCTAAATCCAGAAGTTTTCATCTTTTTAATGGTGATGTCAAGTAGCTTATTTAAAGTGGATATAAACAGTTTAATTATTACTTTTTTTTTTTAATACGTTGGAGGGTCACTTAAAGCTTTCATCACCAATCATTTAACAAATATTCTTTAAGATAAATACTGCATACAACTGTGAAATATTTGCCTTTGTTTTTGTTTTGCCTGTTTTTTTGTATTTTGTTTTTTATCATGAAGGACTGCATTGTAATTGATACACAGTTTTTACCAAGGGAATCAGAGCTGCAAACGAGGGTTGTTTTCTCTGAGGATTTATGTAGAATAATAAATTGGCCTCGGGCCATTGAAACTATAACATAGTGGTATTTAGTATTTTGTTCAGTAGGACTCTGTTTCTGATATTACAAGAAAGATGAGTGATAGCTATAAAACTTGATATGGAAAATCAATTTTCTTCATATAAGTAAGTAAATCTAATTTCCTCAGGAGTTTTTTTTGCAAAAAAAAAAATTAAGATTTCTTGAGTTGCGTAATATGACTATGAAAATCTCTACCAGCAAATTTTTCAAAAAATAAAAAGTAATTTAATAAAAAAAGAACTCTATTTGTACTGTAGAATAAACACTGCACTGCTAACCACGTGGTCAGCAATTTAAACCCACCAGCTGCTCACAGGAAAAAGACGAGGTTCTCTGTTCCCTTAAAGATTTACACCCTCAGAAACCCTATACAAGGCTGCTATGAGTCCGAATGGACTCATTAGCAGTGGGTTTGGTTTAGTTTAGGCTATTGAGTTCAAAAGGAGTTCCAGTGGTACTGAGGGTTAATCAATGGACTGCTAAGTTGAAGGTTGTTAGTTCAAACCCACTTGTGGCTCTCCAGGAAAAAGATGAGGCTGGCTTCTCTCTTAAAGATTAAGTCTCTGAAACCTTATGGTGCAATTCTACTCTCCTATATAGTCACTATGAGTCAGAATCCACTGGAAGGCAATGAGTTAGTGGGTTGGTGCTGTGGGTTAACATTCTGGACTACAAACTTGGTTTGAACTGCAAGGTCAGTGGTTCAAACTCACCACACACTCCTCAGAAACCCTATATGGGACAGCTATGGGTTGAAAACAACTCAGTGGCACTTAAGAACAGTAGAAAAGTGGTTAAGTGCTCAGTTAGTAACCCAAAAGTAAGCACTTGAAACTCAGCAGTCCAGAAGCTGTTCTGCAGGAGAAAACTCTGGAAATTAGCTTCTCTAAAGATTTACAGCTTTGGAAAGCTTTTGGGGAAGTTCTACTATATCATAGAGGGTTATTTGAGTCAGATCAACTTGATAGCAAGGGGTTTGGTTTTGATAATTACTGACTTGAATAGATTTTATCTATATAAATACAAAGTTAGCATATATTATCATTTGATGAAAGATGGAGCAGAATTAATTCATGTTAGGTCACGAAGCAGCTTTGCTTCAACAAACTGAATAATTATAATTTATTTTCAAGCAGATATAATACCATAGCCTAGGGTAGGTTAGAGCAATTCACTCATGTACTAAATGATTATTAAGTTTTGGAATAGATTTTCTTAGGCATATTCCATTCAGTATAATTTGATTGTCTAACTCTAGTTAATTAAAGACTTACCTGACTGACATTTTTGAAAGCTGAATGGAATAAAGATTGTTATATATCTGTGAACAAATCATCTTAAATATACATAGTCATTTAACTTGAGTTATACAATTTTTCTCAGAATATATATATATTTATTTATGTTATCAGTGCAACACTAAATTTAAAAATGCAAATTAGGTTGTTGATTTTATTTTTATGTTCATGACACTAAGGCCAAATTGACAAACTTGAGGTCTTAACTGAAAAAAATTTGCCCCATATTAATATATTTTGTACTGATTGCTACAGTAATGGGTAAATTTTAAATTGTTTATATTTTCTATACAATCTATTATAATTATAAATTAACCTGGTATTACAATATGAGAAGTGTGTTTTATCAAAGTTAAGCTGAACTATTTTTGAGCAAGTGTTCAAGTTAGGTACTGTCCAGTTGGTTCTGACTTATAGTGATCTGATGTAAATCAGAGGAACCACTGTCTGGCCTGAGACATTCTCACAATCATTATTTTTGATCGCTCAATCCACCTCCTTGGGGTCAATCTACCTTCTTGGGCTCTTCCTTTTTTGGATGACCTTTGACTTTACCAACCATGATGTCCTTTTTCTAGGAAATGGTCCATCTTGATAACATGTTCAAAGCATGTCGGCATCTAGCCATCCTTGTTCCCAAGGAGCATTCTATCTGCACTTCTGAGACAGATTTGTTTTTTCCTCTGCTACTCCAAGATACTTTCAATATTCTCCACCAATACCACAATTCAAATGCATCAACTCTTTCTGATCTTCCTTATTCATTACCTAGCTTTCATATGAGATCACTGAAAACACTATGGCTCAGCTCAGGCACATCTGGGTCTTCAAAGTGACATATTTTCTATTTAGCACATTAAAGATTTGCCTAATTTAATATAATTTCAGTTTGATTTCTTGACTGATGCCTTTATTTGTGTAATCATTAATTGGAAAAAAACACTTAATGCATTTCTGACATCTTAAAAATGTATTTTAGAAAAGTTGCATATCACATATTTTATAAAGATGTATTTTAAGAAATCAGGCAAATATGCCATTGAATAATAGGTCTCTGTGTAAACCGAAGTTGAAGTGACCTCTAAATCTTGTAAATAATAAAATTAATTTTGTAGATTCTACAATTTTATTTTAATATACTATATGTATTATTTCCTTTGTGTTAGAGAACAAGGGCTAGGAATAGTAGTTAAATGAGAGTTAGAACAGAGTAATGGAAGTGCCTATTGGAATATTTGAATTTAGAAAAGCTATTTACTCTATGACTAAATGTTGTAGGCATTACAACACAACCAGCTCACCTCAGGATTTTTGTGCAATCATTCACCCATCCACCCATACATTCAGTCACTTATTAATCAATAAATGATTATTGAGCAAATGGTCTATAGTAGATTCTCTTCCTATAGCCATGGAATATAGTATACCATGTTATCCTTAAAATGATGCCTGATAAGTTGTTTTGAAAGTCAGTTTCTGACTCACAGTGACCCAATTTAAGGTTCCCAAAGAGCTCCTGATGGATTTGAACCATTAACCTTGAGGTTAACAGTCCAGTGTTTATCCTACAGTATTATACAAGGATTCCAAAAGAAACAAGCATATCTATCTTGGAACAAGTGCAGCCAAAATGCTCCCTGAAAGTGAGGTTGGAGAGAATTCGTAGCTTAAACTGTTGACATGTTATCTTGAAGGACCATTCCCTGGAAAGGACAACATGCTTTACAAAGGTCAGTGCCACAATGAGATGGACTGAAACAATGACTACAACAATAAGCTCAAATATAACAACAATTGTGAGGATGAAACAGGATAGGGCAGTGTTTCATTTGGTTATGCATAGGATCACAATTAGTCAGAACTGACTCCAAGGCACCTAATAAGGGTATATTAGTTCTTCAAAACAACATTACGTTGTAGAAAGTAAACGTATGCTTTAACATAACTTATCACTTCAAAAGTGTCTTTAAATTATTTTTGGAACAAGATCAAGAGTAATAAATATTTTGTTTCAAAAATGAAAAACACAAAGCCTTATAATTTTCTAGCAAAGACTTTGTTGTTGAGATACTATAAGTATGGACAATGACTCAATTATGGTGCAAAATAAGTTATATTATTTTCATCATATAATCTATTCTGTGCAACTTTATACTAATAGTTAAACATGAAAACTCTCTTCTTTCAGTTTGAAACCATATGAAAAAAAAACTTTTGTAAGCAACTAGTCTTTCAAATTTTCCCTCTCCTAGGGACTTAACTTATTTGATAGCACTGGTTGCTATGTTAAACTAAGACATTTCAAATAATAACACTTACATAACTTCTTTTATGTTTCTAAACTGTATTCTTATCCATACCCAAAGTCATTGAGTGGATTTCAATTCATGGTGACCCCATGATTGTAACCATAATAAAATAAAATAACAGTTATTTTCTCAGTGGTGTTCCTGTGTTAGTAAATGAGCATAAACTATTTGTAACCCTTATCCCTAAGACTTTTTTAAAAAAGTCTTCATAGAGGAGATTTGTTTTCTGCAACATGTGTTGTCAGAACTCCGTAAAGGGTTGGATTGTCGATATGAGATTCAATCAATAAAAACTGTGCTTTTTTCTGACTGAATCTTTCCCAACTTTCCCCCTGCTTTTGATATACAATGTATTATATCGATAAGTTGGATTAACAATGGATGTAGATATTAACGCTTTTTTTTTTTTTTTTAGGTTTAGAGAACATTAGCTTTATGGAAACTTATTATTGCACTTAGTTTTATTATCAAGAAAACTTTTGTAAGAATGGTTTAAAATGATGTTTTAAATATAAACAGTGATTTTGTTCCCTCCCTAAGTATGGCAAATGTCATAGTCTATATGGTCTCTAGGGAAAGGCAACTATATTAATAGCTTTAACAAAAAATGAGGAATAGTGAAGGGAATTAATGTAAGATATTGGAAAATGATGAATGTTTTAATTTGGCATAAATATTAATAGAATGTGAATATACTGTTTTTGGAACTATCTCCAAATTTGCCAACTATAGACAACTAAAAATGGCATGGCAGAACAACCAGACTTCAGGAGGTGACTTTATCCTCTTGGATCTGTTTCATGATACCCAGGCACCCTGGGTCTTGTTCATTTTCACAGTTCTGGCTCTCTTTGTGGCCCTGGTTGGCAACACTACAATAATCATCCTCATTTGGGCTGACTCTCACCTCCACAGTCCTATGTACTTCCTGCTCAGTCAGCTATCCTTCATGGACCTCTTGTATATCTCCACATTTGTTCCCCAAATGATCTTTGCTTTTCTCTCTGGGAACCATCGTATCTCCTTTGCTGGATGTGCTACTCAGCTCTTTCTCTTCATGACCCTGATAGCATCAGAGTGCCTCTTGCTGGCTGTCATGGCTTATGATCGCTACGTGGCCATCTGCCACCCCCTGCGCTACACCATCTTCATGCGCCCATCCGTCTGTGTACTCCTGGTTGTTGGGTCTTGGCTGGGTGCACTGTTCAATGCGTTGATTCATGTCATCTACACTCTGACTCTCCCTTATTGCACGTCCAGGAAAATCAATCATTTCTTTTGTGAAATCCCAGCAATGTTGAAACTAGTCTGTGAGGACACTTCCCAATATGAAACGGGTCTTTTTGTCAGTGGGATTATTTTTCTTCTCCCTCCTATCTCAGCAATCATTGCATCCTATGGAAGAATACTATGCACTGTATTGAGGATAGGCTCAAGCATGGGCCTTAGGAAAACCTTGGCCACTTGCTCTTCTCACATGTCCGTTGTGTCCCTCTTCTATGGTGCTGCAATGATGAAGTACCTTCTTCCAAAGTCCTACCACTCCTCTAAACAGGATGTGGTGGTCTCTGTCTTCTACACCATCCTTACACCTGCACTAAATCCCCTTATCTATAGTCTGCGAAATAAGGACGTAGCTAGAGCCTTCAAGAAAGTTCTCAAAAACCAATAGGAAGAAGTTTTTAAATTTCTGATACTTTTAAAGTAAAATAATTTATTTTTTAAAGCTGAAATTTAGCATGTGAGTTAGATTGATAAAGAGCAATATAGACACATTTTATATATATTTGGTTGTAGAACCTAGATAATTTGAGAAATAGAAATAGAGGACAGAAAAAGAAATCAATATCTAAGAATAATATCTATCATCATCATGTTCTTCTTTTTAATCACTATGTCTTTGTACTAAAACATTATATAAATAAGGTTCATTTAATTGTGTAATATCACAAATAAATTTTACTGCTATTCAATAAGCATAATTGTGTGATGTTTAAAACACAGAGGTTTCTAATTACATAACCATAATTTTCTTAATAATTTGTATTAAGAATTTATGTTTATTTGTGATATAAATCATATAGTAATGAATATATCAAACTGTGTGGTTTTTTTAAAAATATTTAAAATATTTTCCCTAAGATGATTCTTTCTTTTCTTTTTTTTTTTTTTTTAAAAAATATAAATTTATTTTGTCAGCATTTAGGAAACTAGAAGTCTGAATTCAGAGGACCTGCTGGATCTAGGGGAAATCTTTTTCTCTCAGATCTGGGAGTGGGTCCTTGTCTCTTCTGAGTTTCTGTTGCTGGATATTTTTCATGTGGCTTGGAATCTCTGCATCCTAGGTTGAATTTAATCTCCTTTTTATTTCTCAGAAGAAATTGACTCATTATACATCCTGTGTTAACCATGCCATCTTGTTAATAAAACAAAAATAACCCATTTTTAAATGGGATCATTACTTCAGGCATTGTTTTTTTTAACGTACCTTACAAGCGGTTCCTTCTCACAGCTACATTCCTGGTGGGTTTGAGCTGTAGACCTTGTGGCTAGCAGTTCAGTGCTTATGCTATAGCTCCACACTAAAGGCATGAAGGTTAAGGTTATAACAAATATTTGGGGGTGGGGCAGATTTCAATCCATAATACATCTCTCTAAAAATTTTAACTGTTTATTACAAATTAAATGGGGGTTTACAGAGCAGATCATCAGCTTTACATTCAACAAAATATATACTTCATTTAATATCAAAGATTGCAGTCACTGAATGTATTCATTTACCCCGCTTCCAGCTTCAGTTTCTCATTTCCATTCTTCCTTGTTTTCCCATTCTTATGAATTTTATCCTAAGGTGATCTTGACTAATTCCCTGATAAGGAATTATTGAATCAAAATATATCAATAAACTTTTAAGTTTTTCTGTATAGCTTGACCAAATTGAACTTTGAGTGCTTAAAGTACATTAAAATGATTATTTCATTGTATTCTTTTGTAAAGAATAACTCAAAATTTCTGATAAAATCAACAACTTTTATATTTGTTTTGTTACAATATACTGAATTGTTAGCTTGAAATATAAATTTTGAGGAATGCACTTTGATTCCATTAGCATTGCTACCATTACATATTTGCTAAATATTTACTTCTGAAAAACTTCCATGTACCATAACTTTCTAATTATCCTTAATGTGTATGAGTTTTAAAACAAGTTAAATTTTTTATTTAAAAGAATTTTGCATTTTCCTGTAGCCATTTCTGTTAAAATACACTTTTGCCTGTCACTGCTTTATTATAAACTGCTATTTCTATATTTTCATTTCTCCTGCAATAAATTTGATTGGGCCATTTATGATTTATTTTTCCTCAATTAGTTCAGATTTCAGTTTATTGTTCATATCTTTTCTAATCCATTCTACACCTATAAATATAATTTCAAAATTATAGTAGCAAGTTTTGAGATGATTATAGTCCATGGACATATTTGAGTTATGATTTTGGAGAAAAATATTAAAAATACTATGGGCTGCCAGAACAAACAGGTATGTGTTCAAAGAAATATGTACAGAATGTTCCTTAGAAGCCTGGATCACAAGACTTGTCTCCCATAATTCAGACATATAATCAGGAGAGATGTGTACCTAGAAGACATCATGCTTGATAAAGTGGAGGGTCAGCAAACTAGATGAAGAACCTCAATGAAATGGATGGGTTCAGTGGCAGCACTAATGACCTCAAAGGTAACAACAATTGTGAGGTTGAAAAAGGATCAAGAAGTTTCATTCTGGGTGCCTAGAGTCATGATGAGTTGGAACCAACTAAACAGCACCTAACAAAAACAACAACAACAATAGATCTTGAACTCATCTTATGCTATACAGTCAGAGAAAATATAATAACCTATCTAAAGATGTTGACTCAGGTCAATAATTTGTTTATCAATAAATAACACTTATTTGTTAGTATCACTTCAGGCCATGGTGTCACAAATTGTGATGCTTATGGTCTCCTAATACTAAAAGAAAAATGAAAAGTGGCAACAAACATTTAGTTATTTGTTTTATCAAAAGCATATGTACTTTAATTGTGATTTTTGATAGTAGAACCCACTACCATTTGTTGCTTACATGTATATTTTCTTAGTACTAGAAATGTTTGTTTGTTTTTCTGTAAGGGAAATAAAATTACAAATAAGAACAAATGTACTGAGGGAAGGACTCTGTGTAAACTCTGAGGGAAGCTGTTGAGCACATTTAGTATGACATAATACACTATATCACGTAATCCCTTCCTGTTGTCCATGGAACTTTCATTGTATAGTGGTAGAAACAAGAACAAGAGTGCAATTTATAATGATATCCTGAGTGTTTTTGAAAACTAGAAGGTTTAATTTATTTTTATCTACCAAAGTAGTGTTTTTGATACAAAAATAAAATAAGCTGACATAAATATTAATGAAAATCATATTCTCTGAAACTAATTTCTTGTCTTTTGGACTTTAATCCTTTAAGATATGAGAGGACATACAGATTTCTTTTGTGTTTCCCTCTCTCTCATGCTCTCTCTCTCTGTATAGTATGGGATTGTAGTTAATTCTGTAGTGGGAAAAATTCCAATGTTGAAAGATATTTAAGTTTGTCTAAATGGTAAAGAGCAATGTTAAAATAATTTAGTAGTTAATTTTTTTCATCTTACAAAATAGAACATAGATTCATAAAAAATTGTTTTCAATAGTAATAAATGAGGCGTATACTATTTGAAAGTGATACTGTGTCTTTTAGACTACTAATTAAGCCTAAAAAATATGTATCATATATCTATGTATCTATGTATCTATATATCTATAGCTATATCTATACACACACACACATATTCACATATACAAAATATGTGGGGGGTTATCTCTTTCAAAATTGGAATTTTTCCCACTATGGAATTAGCTACAATCCCATACATTCTCATTGGAATGACTTAGATGTTGACCTTAGGAAAGTTAATGTTATATGAATAGAAACATAAACACGAATTTTTGCCAAGAATGTGAACAAAAAATTATAGTTGTATAGTTTATGCTGTATATATAATAAGAATTACTTATGAAACTTATGGCTTATAAACACAATAGTGGATTTCAGAACATGTTGTATTTTATCTTAGAATTTATCCTCAGCTGATGATGCTTCTTGTATTGCAAGCATTAGAAATCTATGACAGAGGAAGAGAACATGGAATCTCACTCACTGGCTCTTAAAATAGCCATGAATTACACATGTCACTTTCAGCAGTTAGATGTGGATTGCTGAAAGATGGCTTCCTTAAGTACATGGGAGGGGATCTTGTGTAGAATATAAAACCAAAGAGTGCACTGAAAGGCAAAATGTGGAACCCTGAAGACATTGGCTGTCTCATTAAAAGTGCACTCATGGAGTCACAGTTAGTGAAGCTGAGAGATGGTGACTCACAGCTAAGGATCTGGCAAAGGATCATGGGAAATGTAGTACCCCTTGCAATAGAGTCAACTAGAGAAAAGTCAATGAAATATATGAAAACAAAGGATCATTACTAATCATAATGATAATCAGTGCTTACCTTATGGAACTATCAGGATCCCTGTATGTATGTATGTATATGTTGTTGTTGTGAAGTGCCATTGAGGCAACTCTGACCCATAGCCACCTTGTATAGCATTTCCAAGGAGCAACTGGTGAGCTTGGACCACTGATCTTGGCAGTTCAAGCAGCTTTGCAGTCTGGCACATTAACCCACAGCATATCAACAGGACTCAATATATACATTATTTACCCCTGGTAGCACAGTGTTAAATCTCTCACAAGCTAATTGAAAAATCAGCTGTTCAAAACCAACAGCTAGTCCATTAGATATGTAGTCAGTTTATTTAATGATTCACTGCCTTGGAAATCTTATGGATAATTTTCACCCTATCTTATAAGATCACCATGAGTCAGAATCCACTCATCAGCAGTGTGTGGGTAATTTTAAACAATTAATTTTCAAATGAATACACAATTTCAGCAAGTTTTATCAAGGGCAACTCATCTCTGTTCCATGCATTGTCAATGGAAGTGATTCTAGCATTACTATAAAAAATGATTACTATAAAAAATGATTATCAGAACAAAGTTGAAGATGTCTCACTCATTGACTACAAAATTTACTACATAGCTACAGTGGTCAAAAGAGACTGGTACTGGTACAATGAAAGATACATAGATCAATGGAACAGAATTGAGAATCCAGAAATTAACCCATCCACATACACCAACTGATATTTGGCAAAGGTCCAAAGTACATTGAGTGGGGAAGACATAGTCTCAGCAGATGGTGCTGGCAGAACTGGAAAGCAATATGCAAAAAATTGAAACAAGACCTTTACCTCACATCACATACAAAAACCAATTTAGCATGGATTAAGGACCTAAATGTGATTCTCAGAATTATAAAGGCCATCAATTAAAAAATAGGGACAAATTTAAGGGCTGTAATCCAGGGCACACAAAGACTACCGATCATTGCAAAAATTACACACATGAAAGAATACAAAATAGATGATTGGAACATACTAAAAATTAGAAAATTATGTGCATCAAACAATTTCACCAAAAGAGTATAAAGGGAGCCCACAAAATGAGAAAAAATAGTTTGCAATGGCATATC